CTCCGCATCACAGGAGGAGTGCCGGTGGTGCTTAGCCAGCAATCTGACTGGTACGTTCATAACCTACACGGAATATAGCAGCCTGTTAGGTTAGCCGCTGAAGCATCCTTACTGCTTCATGCATTCTCTACTCTTGAAGCGTCTCGCTGTGGAATGCACTCCTGCATTCAGCAGTGGAACGCTTCGAATGGTCTTCACTAAGGTTGTTGATAAGAGATACTTATGGTGAGTGATTAAGTCAATTGCTGCTGTTCATAACATCTCTGTAAACAACCCATGCATTTGGAATAGAGCTAGCTTAGCGGTCGTACATGATGTCGTTACTAATAAGCAGTGAGGAATAAATTGTGTTGAAATCATTGAGATCGTGATACTGGGTCATATCGATGCAATGTTGTTGTGAGCGGTGTAGCTGATTTTTCCATGATAGCTTGTCACTTTCACCTCCTAGCACTTGCTCTTCTTCCTGTCACCCGTCAATAATGTTCCCGTCCCACCCCCTACAATACTCCTTGGAACCAAGGTCCCACTGTCGCTGTAACCTGCGTACGAATTTGGTGACCCTCCCCTTCCGAGGCCCCTTATCGGACCTTATCAGCTGCTGGCAGGTCCTATCACTCACCAATTATGTTCCCGTCCCATCCCCTATATCTCTTCTTGGAACCAAGGTCCCACTGTTGCTGTGACCCGCGCTATGACTCGGTGGTTCTGCCCTTCAGACTCCTCTTATCAAATCTTATCAGCTAACTTGTTTCGCTTTTCAGAAGGAGAGGACGTTTGCTTTCCCAGCGCCATGGAGCTCGTCCTCATTGATAACTAGCGCTTGCGGCTCGCGACGATGCGCATGCAATCCTTTAATCTCCGTTCTTACAGTTGAATCAACCTACCACTTTTCCTGTCCGCCTTGGAACCTACAAGAAGCACAGCTACTGTTCACAATGTTTAGCCATCATCAAAGATTTCAGCATAGTCGTTGGCTCTGCAGTTCTAGGCTGCACTCATACTTTGCGTTAGTGTCCACCAGCGTTCCGAGTGTAAGGCAGCATCAGCGATTAGGAAAGTACAGACGACCAGCAGCGTCTCGAGGGCTATGGAAGTGTAGGTATCGATCTAACATCTCGACCAACAGCGTCAAGCAGCGTCCACCAGCGTCCAGGTGGAGAGTATGCGGCGATAGGCGGGTAGTAGACAGCTAATAGAGTATGCGACAATAGGAGGGTATCAGACAGTTGGTACCCTCTTGTCGCTCCATACTCTCTACTCCCAGACGCTGATGATCCCTGATGGACGCTGCCATGTAGTATGAATGCAGCCTTAGTGGCACGTCAATCTATCAATCCGGAATTCATGGAAGCAATGCAATGGTACACGGAAAACTGCGGGAGTAAGTACGTGTTGTACACCAGGACGACAGATGGAACAGCGGCGACTAGCTCCGCTAGCCCTCATGGTTGGGGAATCCGAATTCACATAGGTTCCTATTTCTACGGAATCCGTTGAATAGAAACGGATTCGCTTGGGAGTACGAAAACAGTCAGCTGTTCATTGGCTAGCCCATATCGCTCTGTGATAAGAAATGTGCATCCAGAGGTAATTAGTGTTCTGAATAGATTTGTATGCGTGTCGCATCCCTTGAAGGCATTGGTCCGTCAAGCTTCATCCAATAATATACTCGTGCTTGAGTGAAGCGATGTTTTACAGCTCTGCACATAAATAACGAAACGATGACTAATGTCTTGACTGCAGCAACAAGAGTGGAAAGCATATTTGTATATAATTACTACAACGACAAAATACAGGCGCGGTTTATGAATCATACCCTGCTGACAAATCAAAGCAGACGTACCCGACACCGTTACACACATAAACTTTGGGACAAGCGCTAGAAAGATATTTTCATCCTATTCTGTTCTTGAACATTTTAGGGGCAGTAGCTAAGAATATGATGTAATGAAGCAATATTACTGGTTTCGTAAGGCGTGGGTCGTTTATTGGCAAGTGGTGGTTCTACGATTCCGCGGTCGGGGATCAGATAGCAAATCGTCTCTTGCCCGAGGCAACCAAGCTCTCCATGCCTGTGTGCAAAGTTATTTGGTACTACACTCGTCTGTGAGGATAAAAACACCGAATACTACGTTGTCTGCCTTCCTCCCCTCCCCCCCCCCCTTCCTCCCTCCTGCAATGTTCAATGTATGGCGTAGGCCAATTCATATTCAGAAGCCACTACGACTCTAAATGGACTGCGTGCAGAGTTCTGAAGTGAATCACCAACAGTGAGGGTGTTATCACTTGAGCTTTTAATACAGTAATGCTTCGCACTGCCTTACCAACCCTCACAGTGCTTCTTGTACGGGGCAACATGGTCGGGTGTCATGTCTTACAAGAATGGATTTGAACTTCCCAATGGGGGGAAACTTGAGTGAGAGACCTAGGTACATCGATAGAGCCTCGAATGCTGATTACGAATATGCAGATTAAAAGTGCTACGGGGACCTCCCAGACGAGATCTGGGTGGTCAAAGTTTGAGTTCTGGCTCGTAAGCGCTGCTGATCGACGGCCTCGGCAAGCTGCCACCGTGTGGCCTCCGGTAATGGTCTCGCTTTCAAGTCAAACGCATGCGGGTTTGCATCCGGTTGGCGCGAAAATTTTTGCTTCGCTCCGTATAAGAGCTTCAACTCTAATTTTCGAAATTCTTCCGAATTTACGGCCCAGCAGGGCAAGTAGATCAAGTACATCAAAGGTTCTTAACGGGCACGACATACTCGATCTAGTATGGATTGTGGTCATATCTGCCCTCTCTGAACATATTACCCATCCGACAATTCAAAGTTTTAGCGAGAAATTCGTTCATGGGAGATTTCGACCCCCTGAACACGAATATCACATCCTTCGACGAAAAAACGCTCGTCTGCGACCAAATTGCCGATTCTGGGCAAAACTTTGAATTGTCGGATGGGTAATATGTTCAGAGAGGGCAGATATGACCAAATCCATACTAGATCGAGTACGTCGTATACTTGATCTACTTGCCCTGCTGGGCCGTAAATTCGGAAGAATTTCGAAAATTAGAGTTGAAGCTCTTATAGGGAGCGAAGCAAAAATTTTCGCGCCAACCGGATGCAAACCCGCATGCGTTTGACTTGAAAGAGATCATTACCACGACGCCACGATCTGCATATTCGTAATCAGCATTCGAGGCTCTATCGATGTACCTAGGTCTCCATTCAAAGTTCCATGGGAAGTTTAAACCATTCCTTGTTAGTCCCAATTAGCCTATCTAACAGGGAATGGAACCTCTCTGGTGCTCGCTTCCTTCTTCCTCTACTGCCTGGGCAGCTCCCCAGAGTCCTACGTTCTTTCCAGAGCTTCAGCAACCATGAAAATGGATCTAATTCAAAAAGGTAGCGGCATGCCCTATCGCAATGTTCTTTACAATTCTCTCCCGACAACAATTTTAATCAACCAGCTCTTCTTTTGGGATAGATTTTTTTATTCGTATTTAAGGTGAGCAAACAAATTTTTCGCGTGCAAGTTAGAAGCAGTAGGCAAAACTATTGAAAAGGGCTTGGGCATGTTCCAAGTTTTTTTTTTCGCTGCTGTAGCATCATTTAAAGACAGTCCTCGTGCTCAAGCAATACTTGAGCGGCCTTTCTTGTATAAGTGGTCTGGTTCTCAGTCTCGAAGATCATCTACTTTCGCGGCTACATAGTAGGTGACAAAGGCGTTGTGGCCCTAATAAGTGGTACTTCCGACGCATTCCCATTTGTTTCGCCCACTGAATTCAAAGGCTATTTCCTATCACAAATTCAGTTTTTACACGACGTTTTCCGTTTTTTTTTTCGTTGTTTGATGGTATTAGTATTGAATGACGCGGAAAAACGATTATTGAGCTAGAGGTGGTAGGATATGTAGTTTGTAACATTGCAATTTGTTGGGGGCGGCGAGCGCAGCGCGGCA